CATGACCATTCTTCTAATTTCTTTATGAAGGTCAATAAGCTTTAAGAATCACAGTTTTTTCCTCTCATATCATTTGATCCAGACTTCCTCTCTATGTGAATCTTCAGCAGCAAGAAACTGAAAACTTAATCATCTTGTGACAGGCTGAACTTTTGTCTGTACCAATTCACGTTCAGGCAATCTCTAGAGCTAAGTCATTGTTAAAGACACAAGAAAATGTTGCTTTTTTCTATCAATAAACAAGGAACTTTATTAGTTACCTCTCCTCATGAAGTCCTTGTTACAGTTTCAAAGAAATAGCTCATACAGATATTGGACATAATGTCTATTCAACCATTGCGCCTGACCAGAACAAAGACCGTTATTTTTCTGGCTTGTGAAAAACGTGGCTTGCATTGTTTCTGCTGCTGATTACCCTATCCAAAGGGAATGTCTGCTCCTCTGTCAAAGAGTAAAGAATGCTCGAGCAAGCTAAGGAACAAATAAGCAGCACTTTTGTGCATGAAAATGTGCCTCTGCCATTCTAGAGAGATTCTTTCCTCTTGTTGAGAAATAATTTGGGGCAATCTTCTACCAAAAAATATTATGCTCAGATTTTAGCCTGAACTCAGAATGATTGGCACAGAGCTCCAGGAACTGAGTGTTTTGGGGATGCTGATGCAATGCAGACATGACAGCAAACACAACAATTGCAAGGTGTAAGTGATCCTCAGCTATGAAGTTCTGAGTCCCAGAACAAGCAGGAGTGTTATGATTCCCATTTTCACACTCATGCTTCAGCCGGAAGGAAGTGACTCCACCATGTCGCTTTTATGCTAGAGAACGAGAAATACCAAGGCTTGTGGTTTGTTTTTTTTTTTTAAACTAACCAGTGAGAAACCAGAACAGGTCGCTCAGGACCTGAGAGCATGCTCTAGAAAAATACCCATGGATAATGTCACTCGTGTAATCTGAAGCTAGCAGCACACTGCGGGATTAGTCTAACACAGAAGGCAGCTCTATCCAAAGTCAAGTAAGGATAAAATTTACAAAGAAAAGAGAAAAGTAACATTAAAAGAGAAAGTAATATTATTCTGAATTGAATCTGCCATGCTCTATAGCTGTCTGCTTACCACACTCTTATATTGTCCTCTTTCTCCCTCTGTAATTTAACTTCCATGTGATCTTAAACACAAGCGACCGGGCTATGAAACAAAAGATATAATTGGTACGAGTTATTTTTGGAGGCTCAAACATTTGGCCAAATCTTAGCAGCATAAAATTCAAGACACATGACTCAGAAGTCAATCCGATCAGCCCGTAGCATTAGACTTCAGCATCATTAATTAAATCAGGTTCTTACAAAAAAAAAAAAGTACTTACGCCTATTGGACTTAATTTCCTTTTCCTTCGACAAAAGTGTAATTGTTTTAGAGACTGGAAGATATTAGGAAGCAGCCTATATATATTGTTTTGTTCCTGTTTTCCAAAACAATATTAAACAGGAAAGAATAACTGAGAGTTAGGCAAGAACATGATCTGGAGATTGTTTATGAACTTACTTTTTGAAGGACTAGAAACAGCTGTCTGAGGACTCCTAAAGGTTTCCTACAACTGTATGTCTAAATGAATGAAAAGACTAAAAATGTATCCACAAAGCTCTTGTTTAGTTGACTGAACAAGCAACCCACTGAATTGAAATTATAGTTGCACTGAATCTACTAGTAATTGTGATTTTGGACTGTTCTTACTTGCCATCTAGTGCAGCAGCATGTCTCAAGTACCCGCAGCCTGTACCAGAGGGGTACCTCAGAAGAAAGCACTTGAACTCTGTCTGAGGCAACACTGGAATACTCTATTCCTGCCCTCAATACACACATACATAAAGCTCCTTTCTCCTGTATTAAGAGAGAACACGAAAACACATTCCATTTTAGCTTTCCTGGACATGAAGTATTTCACTGAGTCCTCTCTCAGTCATCTTAGTTCCACAAAAACCAAAACAAAAACCCCACACCATTACCAAATTCCTTTGATGACTCCTTAAATAGATGTCCCAAATATTTGATTACTCATTGCGTTTTAGAATAAAATATTTTCTTGTCAGAGTATCTTCTCCAAAACGTACTAATTCACACATTGTGGGTAAACTGGTATTCCGCTATTACAAGAGGTTAAAGTTATAGTTGTTTGTACAACTCCTTTCATAACACTCTTAACCCAATCAAGTGTCTTTCAAAAATACCAGACTTTAAGTTAGACCAAATATATTTAAAATACATACCTGACAGGTGCTACTGAACTTGCTGCAATAATTGGAGCAATTTCACATTCTTTTCTAAACACAAGGTTAGGATATTATTTCATAAAAAAACAGAAACTCAAAAAAAAGTGCACCTCTTTTTACTTAGGTCTTGGGAAAGACGGTATCTTTTTGTTCATAGTTGCTTTCTGCCTTATTGATTGAAAAGATTCACATCCTGAACACTGATGAATAATGTACACAGCTTTGTAAAAAGAATTCTCTCCTTGCTGTAGGCTGTTCCAGACCAATATTTCAGCTCGATTTTGCCACCTTTTAGCAAGGGAGCCTTTCAGATTTATAAAAATGACACATTAATCATGCCTCCAGTCTGCTATGAATTTTGATCTTCTGAAATTCAGAGAAAAATTTTTCAGTGATTTAAAAAGAAAACAGAAAGCACCTATTCTATTGAAAACTTCTCATTTTCAGCAAAGGAAAGTGGCAGTGCTAGCCTGGAGCTTCTGCAGCTGACTGTAGCACCTAGAGCAATGCAATGAATTCTGTGACAGAAGGCATCCAGGTCAGCACGTTTCCAGTCTACACTCAGTTAGATAATTAAAAAAAGGTTCATTTTGAAACCCCATCTGTGCTCATGAAGGATATTCAAGTTGGTCTACCTCCCAGCCACAAATCTAACAAACTGGCTGTTTTTAAAAGAAAATCATAGATCTGGATGGACTCTTGTGGTATATTATGGATTCATACTCTAGCCAGAATTGCTACTGATGCATACCCCTCCTTCTTGCAATAAGTGCATAAACTACTCACTTTCCCCTTTTCAGTTTACAGGCAATGTTCTTCAAAAAGCTCTCAAAACATTCATTGGGACACAGGCAGTCTTTAAGACCAGCTTCAAGTACATTCTTCAAATTCCTCCAGTGCCTTTGTTCCACACTCCAATTTTATAGCTGCCCCCACCTTGTTGAAACTGGGCACGTATAGATCTCCAATCATTACAATAAGCTGGCAGCATCTTCATCCATCCATTTATAGCTACCCATCTGAAGACACCCCAGCACCCTTGCCACATACATAGCAGAATTGCAAGGAAAAGACTTTGTGGCATGCAGTCCCAGCATCCTCTAGAATATTACCCTTCCACTGCTTCTCAGCCTTCTCTTTGTATTTTCTCTCATTTCTTCTCAGATTTCCTCTTTTCCCCACAGCTACACTCATCACATATTGTCTAAAGCTATAAACAAGGATGAAAGGGTCAGGCAAACACACAGTCATGTATAAAAACAATCTTTTATTTTCACATCAAAACAACTTCTATTTTATTACTTCTTTGAAAAGGTAATGAGTTTAAAATGTCCTTTGTTTAGCCCCTTAGATATAGCCCAAGTCTGAATGGTTTTGCTATTACAGACATATTCATGGTGCACACACACGAGTTTTCTCTCCTAATTCCCCACCTGAGAAAAGTATGACAATAGTGCAAGGAATGTGGTGATAGTGCAAGGAATACAAAGTCCACTGTGAGCAATGGCAAGGACTAAAATAGATGTATGGATGCCTAGAGATTGGCTTAGTAAGTGCACATTGAAGCCAGGATTGTGGTTAACTATGACAAGCGCTGAGGCCCACTAAAGCTTCAAGCAAAAATGAGGTCTATTTGAAATTCGGCTCACATTACTCAGTTATTTCATTAACCATCCAATTTTGACACATCCATTGTAGGCAATATATAAAAAGTCTAACCTTTTTGGTCAAATGCAGGATGAATGGAGCTAACAAAGTGCAAAATATATGAAAGGCGCTGCATAAACATTGGTTAAGTCCTCTCCAAATTCTCCTACTAGGCAAGCATAAATTATAGTCATCACTGTTCATAGTGATTGATTCAGTATTGCATTTCAGAAGATATTATACAAATTGATTACAGGTGACAAAATCTACCTCATAATGATTCTATCATTAATATTAACAATTTATATGCTATAACAAATAAAAATTTGCACCTGTTACTGGAAGTATTTCTTCAGCTCTTTAATTAAACCACTCCTGGGTGATGCAGGGCACATGTCTTTATTGTGTGGTTTGGCCTTCGTATCAACTTCCTATTGAAATTCCCCAGAAAATTTGCTGGTTTGACATGAGGTACAGAAGCATGTTCAGGTTATACAAATCTGTTGCCTCAAGAACTGTGGAAAAAATAATGTATCTCATGTTTTCTTGAAAGAACATGCTCTTTAGAATACATTCCATCTTTGGTATACTGATAGCACATACGGCCATAGAGATTAATTTCTAACTTTAGGACATGCTAATTCCACAAGGATTAGTCAAACCAAAAGGTTTCACATTTGCAAGTGAGCTCTCCCAAACAAGTTTTGCACCACCTCAGTCCCATAGGTTAATCTATCATTTACATTCAGGTGACAGCATTTGTGAACTCCAGAATTAGATTCAAGTTTCTTACAAAGCTTTGAAACCTGAAATTAAATATTCTCTGGGAATTAAAAAATAAATATTAAAATAATTGCTCTCATTAATGACAAATATGGTGTTTTTCTTTAACTGGAAACACCTCAGCAACCACTACTGGCTACACTATCTGTATGGAAAATAGAAGGCAAATACTGTAACACTTCAGGTCCTGTTAAAAATGTAGTTTATGATAAACTGCTTGTCAGATGAACCTTGGTTTTGACACAGAAAGAATCTGCTTTCCCTAAAAAAATCCCAAATTCAAAAAACACCTGCCAAAGTAAAAATATTCCACTCAGAAAACTAAAAACATTTTCACCGCAATCAAAGTTATCCAAGGAAAAAGAAGAAAGATTACTTTTTAACCACACATACAAGTAACACAAAGAAGAACACTTAAGGTTAATTCTAAAGCATATGCAGGTAAGCTAATTTTGCACTTTTGAACATCTCACCTGCTTCCTTACTACAGCTCCCATGGTCTCAAATACTCATTCTGTTCTTCCTGACCATTGAGCACCATCATGTAGATGCTATGGAGATTTTTCAAGGAATTAATTTTCTGCCATGATTTTATGTTGGAGGATTTTTGACAAAGTGTTTTCCTCTTGCCAGGCTATACCTTACGAGATAAGCTCTTTAGCATTGCAGCAGGCAAAATTTAATCCTACACTAGCAACACCAAGAAATGCCACTATTTTAAAGTTAACCAAGCAAGCTTTGGTTTGTAGCTTTGAGTAATATTTCTCCCTCTGGAAAGAGAAGACTCCCAATTTCCTATCAAAACAAAGTTATTTTAAGCATAGAAAGGTCCAAAAAACAATGCAGTTGTAATTTTTGGGAAAAATCGTGTTTCTCAATTCCTACATACTCCTAACTGTAATACGTGAACCTAAAACAATAACAGCTCCGTTATTTACTTCAGGCAATTAAAAAGCAGCCTCAGAATAGACAATTCATTATTATCATTAATAGGCAATCCTGCATTCATCGTTACTAATGATACCTGATTTTTTAAACATTGGGAAGTATGCTCACAATTAACTTTCACTGTGCTCACTGAACTTCATTACACATCCAGCATGATCTGAGGACAAGACCTCCTCCTCTTACTGTATCTCAAAATGTATTATATTGCTACAGTGTAGTACAAAATATTGTGTAATATCTATGTAATATATAGGTATATGAGAATGTGCGTTGTATTATACAGCAGCACAAAATTTTCTGTACAGAGATTTCTGAAATTGAGGTATACAGACATATGTATTCAAGTGAATTCTAAGGCTGAGATTTTGCAATAAGGTCATTTGATGTAAATTAACATTATTAATATAGAATCATAGATTTTTTTTTAGGCTGGAAAAGACCTTTCTAGTATTTCTCAGAGTTTCTCATAATGATATCTTACCTGAGCTTCAGAATACTAAAGAAGCTCCTTTGCCATAGCATCTGCAAAATGACAGCGTGATGTGTATTGTACCTCGCAAGAGTCCGTATGCTGTGGCTACCTAGCTTCAGTCTTGGTTGGCCTGAGCTCACTTCCAGTCCAAGATACTGTACAAACAGCTGTATGACATCTCAAAGCACAAGCTGATGTCAGAAGAAAATCTGTATTTTCAAATAAAGTTTTGACATCAATAGAAGTAGCTTAAACCGATTTCCTATTATTGTTAGGAAGGTTGTGATGAATGTTTGATACATGCTCCTAGCAAATCACACAGTAAAACAGGAGAAGACAAAACAGAATGATGTTTTAATGAAAGCAAAAAATAGAAGATCTTTAACTGGACAACCATTTCATGCTGTATTTATCTTTTGAAGAACATCATTCCTTCACATCCAAGGTCACAAACATAAAAAAAGAAAATAAACAGGCAACATTTTTCTTCTATTCTCCTTCCTACCCACCACCTCACCCATCCAGTAGACTGCATTACATCAGAAAATACATTCTGACCACCACCGAGCACCAACCCGCTTCTGGATACATTATCATAATTTTGGATTAATTTTACCTATTGTACATTCCGTCTCCTCCACTCTCACCCATGTTCAACACAGATACTCAGACCTAGAGCCCTCACTTTTGAAGGTCATTTGAGAATCCATGCTTGACCTAGAACAAAGGAGAAGTCTTTCCGACTCATCTGTGTACCTTCGTGCCCAGCGCTGATCTCCTGCATTCCCTGTTCGAGGCTTCAGAGACAGTGTTTCAAATTTCACATAGGTCTCTTTCGCAAGGTCGGCTTCCTTTGCAGTTTTTGGTTTCACATGAAGTTTTAAAACTTTGTAGAGTAAGAAAAATATCAAAGGTAAAGCAACAACACATGCTGCACTGCTGGCCAATATCAGAATGGAAAACTGAGAGCTGCTTTCATCATTTAATCTATCAGTGGAGAAAATAATGCACTGCTCTTTTGTAGGTGGCACTCCTTTGGGTGAGACACATGCCATATATTGAGTACTAGGTTGCAAACCATCAATTGTGACTTTGTTTTTGCTAGAATCAGTGCTCAGAGGCAACATATCTTTCTCACCATACTTTGAGTATAACACAGTCACTGCAGAGTTGCTTGTGGCATTGACAGTTTTCCAAGTTAAGGTCACTCTTTCATCAGTTTCACTGATCACTCTCAGGTTCTTTACAGTAACATTTTGCTCAGCCATACCTGCTGTATTCAATGAAGCCTCCTCACTTTTCTTGCTTATCTCCTCAGTCTGCTTTGTCTCCTCACCTTTCTTGTTTATCTCCCCAGTTTGCTTTTTCTCCTCACCTTTCTTGCTTATCTCCTCTGTCTGCTTTTTGTTTCCATTAGTCACTGCCTTTGAATTTTTCTTTCCATCAGACACAGGCCTGGATTGCTTCTTGTCAGTAAACCTGATGCTTGTTGATCTTTCAGTGCTAACCAGTGCTGTGGTGGTTGGTGAGGTGGGAAGAGGTGTGGTTGTCCTCTCAGGTTCCTGCTTGGATTCTTCCTGAGTGGTATTCTGTCTCTCCACCTCTTGCTTCCTTCCGTACTTCTGTGGTGTCACAGTTGTTGTAACTACACCAACCACTGTGACAGTAACAGCAGCTTCTGACATTCCTGCCAAGTTCTTGGCTTTACATCTGTATTCTCCGGCGTCCTTGTATGAAATCCCTGTCAAGCTTATTATGGACCATCTGACACCCTCTCCAGGTGTTTCTTGAATTACTACAGGAAAATGCAAAGAGTAAAACATTATAAAAGAGAGCTAAAGAGAACGTAAACATTATCAGACTATTTCTTCCCTTAGGTTATTTCTGCCAGAAGGAGTCACATGTATTAAATGTTTTTAAACCACACACCCCCCAACCCAAACTAACCCCCCCAGAACAAGCTATGGAACTCCCTGCCATATATATTGCAGAGAAGTGCTCAGCTTGTGTCAAAATGGAATTGAATGTCTGAAGGTATTACAATATCATTTGCAGTTTCACTAAGCAAAACAAAACCACATAAAGAGAAATCAAATGTCTTAAAGCTGCTAAGTGACTAGGAAATACAAGTCTCACCGACTTCAAGTGACACTGAACACACTGGCCATTTAAAACATTTTTGGAAATTACCTTTGTCTTAAGATATTTCAGTACTTTGGACTATTACCTTCTTCAGATCTATGATTTAAGATAACTGCTAACTACTTGGCATTAACTTAAATATAAAAAAAAAATGTTTAATGCTACTGCATAAATATCTGTCCTGGCAGCTAGAATGATATCAGACAATCACAGCCTCTCTAGCATTCAAGATGGATGTTGCAAATAAGCAACAAACATTTTCAAATAACATAGAGCACATGATTTTGGAAAATCCTATGTTTACAATGCTGAGTTTTAAGTGGCTCAGTTATAGCCTCACTAGTTTTTTTTAACATGAATATTTTGAACCAAAACAGAGATTCCAGTAATGAATTCTCCACTCTGCTTTTCAGCTTCTAGGTTAGGGCCCAACTATCCCAACCTCCATTTTCCTTTATCCTTCCCCCACATCATCCATTTCCGCCCTCCACGCACATTGTTCTCACTACAGACCACATCCAGAATCAGAACAGGCTGTTGGATCTGTTCAGGCCAAGACCAAGAATTTCATAACAACTGTTGCATGGATACAATTGCCAGCTTGGTGCAATACCTGTCCATTATTAGTCATCCTAATGATCTCAAAACACAAGCAACCCAACATTTTCAGGCTCTCCCATTTCCTATAAAAGAGCAATTATACCTGTATAGTTCACTGGTATATTGTCTGACCTAGTCCAAGTAAGCTGTGGTGTTGGATACCCAGTCGCATCGCAGCGTAGCAGAACGTTGCTTCCCAGTGGGGAAGTGATTTTTGTCGCCGACGTCATCACAGACGGTTTCAGACATTGCTCTAACTCAGCTCTCTGGAACAAGATTCCTGCCAGGCTCTCAGGTCCAGTACATGAAATCAATGGATCAAGAAGTATAAGTGAGTTGTCCACAATTTTGGAAAATTCAATTAGCTTTGAAATGCGACAGTCACAAAACCATGGGTTGTCCTGCAAACCTGAAGCAGGGAGCGAAGAGAAGGAAGGAAAAAAAAAAAAAAAAAAAATGTTGTCAGGCAATATATAGATATTGTGATCAGAGTATGACACATGACTACCACTAAGTACAATCAAGGAGAACTGTGGATCTATCCTGAGTTAATCTTTCTCTTTCAGTACTTCTTTTTTGTTCAGCTGATTGGTGGGGGAGTTTTTGCACAGGTGAGGAAGAACACTATGAATGTTCATTAAGCTAAACTTTTTCTTCACAGAAGTTTACAGGAGCATAGTAATATACTGGCACTACCTTTGCTTAACTTTGCTATTTATCGAGGAAAAAACACTTTGAAAAGATGTCTTAAGACTGATGACACATTTTCACCTGCCTATGCCTTCTGGAAAGATAGCTTCTCAGGGCTATTGCAACCTGTCACTCTCCTCTGCTCTTACTCCTTCGTTGGGCTCTTACAGTTTGATCTTCTCTGACCCTTTTTTCAATGCTTGCAAAGGACATGATGATTTAAGGGTTTAGAGCTTACACCAACATCTCTGTCCCTTGAAAAAAGGATAAAGGCTGAGACAAAGCTTTAGGCCAATAAAATACTTATCTGGCTCTGAACTATACCGATATTCTTAGAAATCTGGCTTCAATTTAGGATGACCTCTGAAATACATTCAAAAAGAACAGCAGAAGAGTAGAAAACAGGAAGGACCGACCCTGAAAAAAGCTGATGACTACAGTGTTTTTATGATGGCACGCAAGAACACTATCTCTCCTCTTCTGTTAGAGGCTATAACATTTGCTTCTTGATTCCGAAGTCTTTGAATGAGAGGCGTCTCCCTCTTGGTGAGCTTATTATGGTGAAAGAGAGTAGCCATTTCCAAGATAAAAAAGTCTAAATCTTCAGCTGGTATTGGTTACTCCACTATGTTGACCTTCATAGAGCAACCAGGTAAACCTGGTGAACCATAGCTTCACCAGGTAAAACACCACACAGCATATCACTGATGAGTTCAAATATTTTCTCATTTGACTTACACTTTTGGGCATACCTTTTTCATTTTTTTTCAAGTATTAACAATAAACAGAATTTCCAGTCTGTAACAAGAGATGGTATGCAAGAACCCCTCACTATTGAATTTACTGATGAGTGCAACAGACAAGCCATATTAATTAAACAAAAATTAAAAGAAAAAAACCTGAAACACCTGATAATACTGTTCAGTGTGTGTTTTTAGGAATCATCAAAATAGCTAATGGAAAAAATCTGGGGTTTGTTCTGGAAGAAACCTGTAGAAAGAATACATTAATAATTAACTAGTGATTCCTTTTATCACTTGACCAAGATTAGGTTATTTTAAGCACAACAGCAGTGATTGGTTAAAACTGTGGTAAACCCCAATTAATCCCCACTCTTTAAAACAAGACTTGACCTGAAGAGATTCCATAACTTCGACATCACAATCCAATTTCACCCCTTCCAGACATAAGAGATTTTATATCTATCCACTACTTATTGCCAGCTGGAACAGAGAAGGAGAAATCAAGGAAACTGCTTTTCTCAAAAAAAAAACAACAAAAAACCCTCCAAAATACAATATTTTTTCGTGTGAAGTTCACACATATTCACAAGCAAAAGAGACACCATCCGAATGTTTTCCATATGTCTAGGCACAACAGCTGTTGGTGCTCATAAAAATTCTGCCCAATCAAGCACGTTTGTAATTATTTGTTCTCATCTTTTAAATTAGGCAAGCTTTAGTTTGTAGTTAAAGACAATATTCCTGTAATTTTTTTTTCATTCTCACTTGATTATAAGAGGTCAATTTTCCTCACTATGTTAAGAGACTGTATCAGCATTTGAAAATTAAATTCCCTTAAGGTATAAGAGGGAAGACAGAATCCCCTTGAAACAGGGCCTCAGCTGCCAGAGTTCTTCCATAACACTGCTGCTAAAATGCCTGAGAACTCCCAGCATGGTCTCTGTGCTACCTAGAGGACAGAAGCATGGGGCAGCTGTGCTACAAGCAGGCGGCAGGGCAGGAACTCCAGGTCCACAGTGTTAATCAGGACAGATCTGCAGCATCAGCAGGGCTCTCATCCCACGCACCAGGCAGCAGATTCTCCCTTACATTGAATGCTACTGAAAATATTTCTTCAGCAACCCTTTCTGCATCCTACAAGATTTATGGCAGGAAAGGATGGGTTTGATTATTGTTCCTAATACAACTAGCAGCACTCAAAGGTCTTTCAAATAGAATCACTGAATCATTTACGTTGGAAAAGACCTTTAAGATCAAGTCCAACCGTTAACCTAGCCCTGCCAAGTCCACCACTAAACCATGTCCCTAAGCACCTCGTCTACCCATCTTTTAAATACCTCCAGGAATGGGGGCTCAACCACTTCCCTGGAAATCCCATTCCAGTGCTTGACAACCATTTCAGTGAAGAAATTTTTCCTAATATATATAAATACATGGCTTTCATACTGTTCCAGTGTCCAAAAGAAGACTCAAAGTTGTTAGAATAAGTATCAGAAATTGGCAAAATAGAAGGAACGATGAAGCAAAAATGGATACTCCTTAGATTGGATGGCTGTTTAGTCCAGTCTGGGACACAGGTTTGACCATCTCAGATCATTTTGAAGGCCTGGTTTCAGCTTCAGAAGAAAGCTGTAGTCCTGGAAGACTCCGAACCTCTGTGCTTTAGTGCAAAGAAAGAGTTATGTCAGTTAGTCACCTCGTGTCTCCCATCCATTATGCTTCCCAGTGGAACTGGCTAAAGAAGCAAAACTTCTATAAATACATGTAATATATACACCTACAGGAGTTCCTTCCTCGCCTCCGTGGCTCATACCTTCTATTTATCTGTGTCTTGCCAATATCTGACAGTATTCACGTTATTTTTAGTAAATTTGCACAGCCATTGTAAGTCATCAAGTCATGTGAATTCCAAAATTAAAAGATGAAAGCACTATTGAGTTGGAAGCAAGGATAAAACACTGAATTTGATTATACTTCAGTTAGCTATTGAAGAGAACAGAAACAGGAATGTAAACCCAGTTTCCAGACTACAAAGGTTACTCTGCAATTTAACAGCTTGAGTTTACAAGATGGTAAAAGTGAGAACAAACACATGAAAGAATAAAGAAAAGGTTAAAAAGGGGGAAAAACGAAGAAACTGGAAAAAATGGGGAGCTTTAATAAAGGAATGAGATGGAATCCCCTCAGGAAAATAATTTCCTAAGAAGAGAAAATGAAAATAATAAGTCTCTAACGGCATGTGTATCTGATGGAACACCAAGTCTTTATAAACCTTGGATTCTTTTGCAGAGATACTAAGGCAGCTTGTTGACCTGAGAAAGAAATACTAACCAAGGCAAAACAAACGTTGATAAATATTTATGCATTGCAATATACCAACACAGTGTATTTTAACATTAAATATAGATTATAAATCACTCTAAACCCCTTTTATTCTACATTTAGCATATTTTAAATTTACTCTCACACATTTATATGCGTGCTTGCACGTACAATGGCAAATATATGTATACGTGTGTGTGTGCGTGCACATATTTGCAGTCTTCTCAGTAAGCAGGGTTTCCCCACACTGTGTCAATATGGACTTTAGCATTCAAAATAGCTACGAGCAAAATTTCTTTTGTAAATGAGTAACCAGTCTCAGACCATAATTTGTATAATATACTCTTTTCAGTATACTGTATAATGGCAGTATGTGAAATATTTGAGTTTTGGGCTGATGGAAATACTCACCACAGCTTAAGCCAACCTACCTAAGGCTCTCTTCCAACTGAAGCTACAAAATTTTTGATCCATGGTTCTAAACAGTAAAGACCATTTCCCACCCTGTGTCCCAGTGTTTCCTACACGCAGTAATTGCTAGGAAGTGGTTTCAGGAAAAGTAGCATTTACCCAATTGCCCAGCATAACAGCTGGGAGCCTGATGGACCTGCAGCATTTCAGATTTTCAGTATCTCTACATGCAACAGAGGCAAGATCTCATCTAACTGCCCTGCTAGCAAATCCTGGATTCCTCTGTTCCTCTTAGTGACTCACTAGATGCAATTTTCCATACGGAAAATGCTACTGCCATCATTCAGACCAGAAATTTCAATCTCTGTAGCCAATGCTGAAACTTGGCTGTGATTTGGATCAAAATATTAGACTAGAGCTCCAGAGGTAACCAAGAGAGTGCCAAATGAACTCACACACTGGTGCCTCGAGCATTTCCACTGCTCAATTGTCAGCTCACTCCACAGCTTTGTTTTGAACTGTTCTAAAGGGCGTTCTCCAAGGCAAAGCCAGATGTGGCTCCAGGGATGGTTCACACTCCAGGGATTGCTCCCTGAAAGGCTTATGGATAAGACCACACCAAGAATGTTGCTATCTGTCCTGTTCTTGTCCCCAATGTAAGTGCAGCAGGCTTTGCACCTCCAGACTATCCTGCATGCCTATCAACCCATCAGGCATACAAAATACGCTTGCTATTTTATATTACAAAAGCACAACTCTATGGGTTGCAATGCAATTCTCACATTACTTCAGGTAGTTCAAAGCAAAGAAAAAACAGTCCCACCCACCCAGTTACATTTTAGAATCAATCCCATAGAGCTCACAGAAAACCAAATCTTACAAAATGTGGAACAACCAGTCAAATTTAAAGAGAGCTGGCCCTAAACTGTATGGATGAGAGCCAGGGTGAGCCACTTGGCCATAGGGCCAGGAATCATTCCCTGACCCTCTTTCATTTAGCACAGTGTCCACACAGAGGAACGCCATACAGTGGAAGGTAATAAAAAATCCCAAGCCCCTAAGTAGAGATTATGAATTGGAATAAGGAGATGCTAACCTGCCAGTCCCCTGGCAAAAGTAGTCTTTGGCTCCTCCAAGAGTCCTTGAAGTAAACATGGGGAACCTGAACTTTCTCTTACATGCAACCTTCTTGATGCTCAGTCAAGACACTGAAGATAAAATTGCCTCCTGGTGTTAAAAAAATACATACGCACAAACATTTGAGTTTGGGGCTTTGCTGTTGTTGACCTTGTTAATTAAATACAAGTGACAATCTTGTTTTGCCAGAACTAGGAGAGAATCCAGCTCAAGCCATAATTGCTTTTACTAAGTAGAATCTGACTGCTGTTTTCCTGATTAGACAAAACCAGCATTTATTTGCTCTGTGTTCCAGCTTCTAGCGGAGCTCTGGCTGCAAGTTACCATTCCATGTAGGCACACAGGTCAGGCTGAATGTTCTCCACAGAGAACATCTGGAACACATAGGACACCCTTGCGCACCAAAGCATGCAATTGTGGACATCACATTTTAAGAGAAACCTTTTTTTTAAAAAAAAAAAAACCCAAAGGAGTCCAAAGGCAACCAAAAACTAAGGTAGAAAATGAAAAAAAAAAAAACCCTTCACAGTCTGTAGGAAACTGGTAAAAGAAACCGTGTGATTAGTTAAGGTGGCAAACTGGGAAGGAAAACGTATGAAAGATTACTATAAGAGGTAGCAATTAGTTTTTCTGTACATCTATCTCATGTAGGACAAGAGGTAATCAGCTTAGTTTGCACTAAGGGAGATTGAGGTTAGATATTAAGAGAAACTTTCTCGCTATCCTGATAGATAAGGACTGGAAGAGGTTACCAGAGAAGGCTCCGGAATGGTCTGGCCACAGGCATCAAGAACAGCACTGACTTAAGCAGAATGGTTCAGTTCACCTGGATCTGCATGCCAGCAGACTAGAGGCCTTTTTGAAATCCTTCCTGATCACATACCTCTGTGATCCTTATCTCCACCCCAGAGGAGGAGAAGAGTATCTATGGGATATGTTTCTCCTCCCTCAGGCTCCAGCAATTGCAGCAGAGACAGCAGGGGTGTCAGAGAGAAAGCAATGCCACAGAGCACATCTTGGTCCTGTCATTCTAAGCCACCATCTCCTATGGTTGGAGCATCACAGAGACATCTCAACTCCTAGGTCATCATTCTAGCCTGATAGTTTCTATCAACCTTTTATTCCTGAAAAACAACTGCTTTGTAACAGTCCACAGACAGCAACCTAAGGATGAGCCTCTGGCAGGGAGCGCGGGTGGCATAACTAGAACTTCTTAAGCTCCAGTAACATAGATAATATAACTAGCACTAGTGGAGACTAAGTAAGCTTGTCAAAATAACCCATGACAAAGAGCACTGCACTTTCTAATCTCCAGAGGAAGGGGATGTTTGCTTATTCACTGTAGAGTTTCTTATATAGCAAGCACTGTCTGCATGGGGATATACTCATCAGAAGGCCATGATGCCAATCAAAGAAAATTCAGCTAATTATCCACAGCTTACCCGAGGTAGATTTACTCAACACAACATAATGAAAGTACTACCTGGCATTTTGCATTCTCAGATCCAAAACTAGAATGACTGCACAGAGTGCCCCTCAGTATGTAACATTACAAAAAGAGAAGCAGGGCGCTGTTTGAACCCAGTGTGTGCTCTCCTCTGGAGATCTGTGTTCAAACCCAGTTGTAGTTCATAAATGAAAATGATCCACAGGTCACATCCCAAGTCTCTAGAGAACTCAGTGCTGGCACCAGAGGGTTTGCCAGGACTGGAGGAGGCTGGCAAAGTGCCTGCACTAACAAAGCCTGCAGATGCTTGCCAGGGGGAAGAGGGAGAGAGAAGAGTGTGTGTGGGTTTGGGGTTTTGGGGGGTTGTTTTTTGGGGTTGGGGGTTTTTTTGTTTATTTCTTTTGTTGGTTTTTTTTTTTAAAGTGGTGAGGGCTATGTTAGACAAGGAAATCAAATAACCTCTGGGACTCCCACAAGAGATCATCAGGAGGATTAGATCTAGCACAGTCAGGTCCTACTTTATTGCCTCCTGTATTGCCCCTCAATGTGGGGACAGGGAAAAGGGTGCTGAGCTGGACTTAGTTTTACAGCTTTTTTTTTTTTTAGAAACCTTGAATAAATGAAGATCCTGTTAATGCTGCAAACCTACAGTTACTATGCGTGTGAGGAACTCGTTCAGCCTACTTGCATCTATTAAGTTACTTATATACAATCTCATTTGAATGAGCGTTTCAAATTGCAGCTTCTGCTGTGAAACAAAGCAGCTGAACAAATGAACACTGAATAGTGGGGGTTTAGATCAAGAAAATGGAAATACTGGGCAGTACAATGCAGGGCAGATCTTTACCAGGGGGTATAGAACTACTGCAGTAGAGAGCACCAGCTGGTTTTACCCCCTTCCACCTGCTACACTACACTAGAAAAACATCAAAACATGCATGATACATAAAGAGCAACAGAAGAGAACATTATTGATAGAGCTGTTCCAGCCACGTTCTGAGACTGCAGAAGACAAAGGGGTTACCTGCAAGACTAGGAAGTGGAGAGAAAGCATAAGGTAAAGCACAGAATCACAAACAGAACTGATGTGATGGGATACTAGAGAGAGGGAACAAAATTACGAAAAAAAAAAAATCAGTCTGGCCAAACTATTCTTACACATTTACCTTAAATACTATAAAAAGTACTGTGAAGTGTAGGGATCAGATTCCTATTCTCTCTCTCATATTCAATGTGTAAATTGGGAAAAACCCCAGGACAATCAGTCAGCTTTAGAGCAATGCAAGATCAACAGGAGTCATGGGGAGAGCAGAGCTGCTCTCTTTTGAGCCACCAACACTATCTGCAACACTGTCTCAGGACAGGCTTCATACCAGCACATCAATTACAGCTACTTGTTTGACTTGTGAGCCACTGGGAAAAAACAGTAGCAGTTGCAAACACATACAGTGATGAGGGAACCGTCACCAGAAACACAACTTTTGGAAGTCCTGCATTTATATGGATTCTGAATACTGCGTATGGCCTGTATTCTGTAGACCAGAATCTTGTAGATTTTACTTCAGTTCTATAACCTCAAGATAACAACATACATGGAGGTCACTATCTTCATTTTATAGTTTTCTGCCACCAACAGAAAATAAATAAATAATCACAGAACAAACCAGAAGACTGACCTGGATGAAACCCACTCTCCTGAATCCCAGGCTGGTCCCCTATCTGCTCTCACTCGCGACTTAAAATTTAGGTGCATTTTAATAAGGAATGAGACAGGCTGTTTAACATACCCAAAATGACTCTCTGAGTCACCAGAATTTCTGTGTTCTTGGACAGGGCAGCTTCTGAGAAGGGGGGCCAGATGTCCACCAAGTCTGACGGCAAGGTGGTTAGCTTGTTGCTGGATATGTCCAGGTAGGTGAGGTTTCTCAGGTACCGGCCAGCATCAGCGGGAATGCTGGTCACCTTATTGTTGTGCAAATCAAGAGTCCGTAGGTTGGGCATCTCTGCCAGCGATTCCCAAGGGAAAGTTGAGAGCAGATTACCATCCAGCCGTAGCTCATGCAGTTGTTTCAAGTTATAGAAACTGCTGATGTCGATATTGGCTACACAGTTGTAAGTTACCCACAGGTATTTGAGATCTACTAGGTAGTAAAAGGCTTCAGTTGGAATCCTTCGTATGACAGTTTTCTCTATACGAAGTTTTACAGTATCCACAGGAACATTCACAGGGATCTCATACATGTCAGGATCGTTACAGAGCACAGACCTAGCATCCAAAAAAAAAAAAAAAAAAAGAAAAAAAAAAAAAGATTGACATTTCTTTATCAGAAATTCGTATTTCAGATTTAAATGCAAATGCCATTACTTTCTGCAACACTACTAGCAGAATAAAGAATGTCAAATCAAGAAGTCCTCTGCATTTAAAAATTGAAAAGACAAACATGAAGTTTCTAAAGAGAAAAAGAATACAAAATAGCAATGATGCTTTTGCATGAAATCTAGATTTGGTTTATTCTAAAGCATGTAAGCACCACCTTCTGCCCATCATTCTACTGAAACCAAAAACAGTAGCTGAATAGTACACGCGTGTACTCAAGTGGGAACTGCACATCACCTGCTTTACTGAAATTCAGAATGTTGGATTACTAATTTCTAATTTTTCTTCATGAAGATTCAAAGTATTTGTCTATATTCAGCTTTCAGAATACAGTGAACATCGAAAATGTTAGCATATTTCTCTGAAGGAGAGCTTTCTAGCCCCCTTTCTGGTGTCTAAGTAGAAATGACCTGCTTTTTAGAGATGCTAAGAACTTTCTGCTCCCATTGATTTCAGCAAAATGGGATTTCTCAGCATTTTCATGAATCAGTATGTTTCCATTTCTTTGGGATGCACTGTTTGCACATACTAGCTTGAAGAGTCCTCCCCCCCAATAAGCCTATCTTTAATTCTCTCCTCCTTTTATTTACCTTCTTCCTCTATTTTACTTCCTCCTCATGCAGCTTAGTATGTTGTGACAATAAGTAGCAATAACAAACAGTATGTCACAAAATTGACATAAGAATACCCAGATCATCACATTTCAAATTAACCTCCTTATTTCCAAAAATTATGATTTTTCCTGCAGATTAAAAAAGAAGAAACCACTGTATTTATTTAAACCAGAATCACCTTACAGTAGACAACTAGTTTGTAAAAATAGAAAGGACGATACAACAGTAGGAAAAATCAAGCATAAAGAAATTGCCTTCTGGAAAACCTGAAGATTTAGAGTAGCTACTTGCTAAATACAAAGCCATAATCACCATCTGTTCCTATTAAAGAATGCCGCTAGCCATATAACACCAGTGTAAAATATGCCTTTATTTCAACTATGCTAGAACTAATTTGCAATGTATGATAATCTTATTTGCAATTTCTTCAACCCTTTTCCTTATAAATTGCCTTGTATAACAAATAATAAAATATATACCTTGTTCCAGTGCCATCACTTCTGCCATGGTAAATGCAAGTGCATTGTGAAGGACAAAACCCATGCACTTCTTCAAAAAAGCTCATTAGGAGGTAGAAGTAAATAAACAGATACATGGCTTCCTCCCAGTAGAACTGGTATGAAAAAATTTGAAAACTTTATTCCTAGGCACTCATGTGCAGTGTGCTATGCATGTGAATGTAGACATCCATTTAGTAACAGCAGATTACATCAGATTAGCTGAGATCTGTAGTTGCTTAACCTTCAAATGTATCCTGAAAGGGATCAGTTAAACCAGCTCATTCTTTATTCTGTCAGAAGAGCACACTCTGTTTCAAATCATATCCAGCGTATTTTAAGGCTATTTTAATATGCAGCTTGTAGGGTTAGCATGTAATAAAAATATCTCTTTGCTCCTTCCAAGAGGCAATGCATTAGTTATTGTTCCTAAAGCGTTCCAAGGTTCCTGAAGGAAATCTGGTACAGCATGAGGATATTGTGTGGCATTTTCTTTAGTACTAAAATTTTCAAACTAATAGGAAGCCTAGATTCCAGAGCTTTTAAAAAATCCTCTAAAAACAGGCTTTTACCAAAATAAACAAAAAAAAGTATATTTTAAATAAGTTACACACTGCAAAGCCAAACTTCAGATGCATGCATACATAATAAAAGTTATTTATTCTCAAAATCTGAGAATCATCAAGAGTCCATATACTACCATGCATAAATAGATCTATACACAGTCATCTTTTCCATCCTGAATAAATCCATTGCTCAGATTGCCAAAGGTATTTTTTGAAAATTACACAACAGACCTATATAACGATGAGATTGACTTGTAAATTACGAGAAATTACCATAAATATTTACTCAAGTTTTATGTGCCTCCCAAGTATCAAGCTTTAGCATGCATTTTCTCTCATTTTCAGGATTTTCTGTGCAGTCATAAGCACTAGAAATATACTACTACTAAAACAAAAGCTGTCTTTCCTACAAATTCATTTGTTTGTGTGAGCCAAAACTTTAAAAATACATTAAATACCCTGAAACTCCTTCAAAATCTGAAAAGTTGATAACAGGCTCTATATGGTTTGGCTAGAAATTTTGATATCTTAACACATTCACAGAAACAGAACTTCGCAAAGCATATCAACATGGACACTTGGTATAGAAATATATTCACACAGGGAGAATCCAGAATATTTCAAGTCTGGAAAACTTCCAAGGGAAGTTGAGGGAAAGTAATTAATGAAAGGAATTATAGGTGCCAAACCTACGTGACGGAATCTAAGCTCCTCCTGCTTCAGTCTCTCCCTGCCCCATGTCACCTTGTCCAACCCTGTGAGAGTCGCAGTAACCACTTCGCTAGCCTTTTTTGTTTGGGACAGATATATTGAGCCAATAAACCTCACTCTCAAAAACTAAAGTCTTAGAGGTCTTTTTGTCATCTTAACCTATCTAAAAATGTTACTGTGATTAACAGAAAACAGTTGTCTGGCTGGGGCAGATTATTATTCCAAAAGACTAATCTTCCAAAAGATTAATTAACTTAAACCCAGATTTCACTCCTTTCCATGTAACTTATGCAGGCAAATGACATGAGTTCTACGATGTCAGTGTACTTTGAGATACACTCATGGGCAAGGCATTGTTTATAGTTATCTCTTGTCTTGTCTGACATCGCACCATTGCCAGGATTGCCCTCCGAAACCTGCAAAGGACAAGAAAGGGAAAGCAGAAAGATTGTTAGCTGGAGAACCAATTACAAAGAAAAACTGGGTAAGCCAGCCTGAAGTATTACAACAGTTTTCAACTTTTGTAAAACTTAATAAAAAATGGTGTATTTGGAATTCAAAAGGACCCGAGTCTTTTTCACTTCCATGTACAGGAATAACTCAGTTAAGTTCAGTGTTTCTTCTACAACAGGGGTCATAGCAGCTTTTGCTTATCCCAGGGCAGGGTATAGCCACAATACAGATGAACTTACAGAATGGGCAAAAAACGAAATGGTTTTTCATTGACTCAGCAGGATCAGGTAGGGCCACCTAAACAGAGATCACAGGCTCTGCTTCTAGGTTGGTAATAGAGAAGGGAAAGGTGCCTCTTTGCAAAACCCAGCTCTCAGTCAAAGACACTGGCTTGGTGAGAGCATTGGATATGCTTGCTCAGAACAGAAGAATAGGCTTAGCTTATTTACTCTAACTAAAACTGTCGCTCAATCCTAATGAGTCAGAATATGTCACATCCCAAATCAAGCAAGGAAATCTACAGAAGTTACACATCACTGAGCCACCATACATTTTGGCCACAGTCATTGAAACCAGTCTACTGCTGATACTACCCAAATTACATAATGAGTCCCTTTGAGAAACCACAAGAGGACTTTAAAAACTGTCTTACAAAAGCTTTGTTAATGTGTTCTCAAAAATCTTTATAAATTCAGTATGTATGACCAAACCAATTTATTTTAGACATTCCTGTCCAAAAGGTCATCTTTGGTAAATCAACAGTGGCTCACCCTGTGATGTCTTCACTAATCAGTTTGCCATATTTTACCAATGATCCTTCTATAGTTAGATGATAGCTAAAATCATGAAGTAGACTGGTACTAAATTAGGAACACTTACTTTTTGTTTGCAATGACATAAATGCAGGGATTATAGAACGTGGAAGATTTTGCGAATAGAGGAGCTATGATGGCCATTGCAGGGGAAATTTTCTTTGGGTCTCCAAAGGAAGACCATAAACACACAATAGAATATGGAGACCATGCCACCAAGAACATTACAATCATCACAACAGACATCTGTAAAAGAAGGGGAAGAAACATGTAACCGGTATTACCTGAAGATGAAGACCTCACAACCTAACCTCAAAAGCACATGCACCTGTGTGCAAATAGAGCTACTGGGAACCAAACAACAACATGTAAACAAGCACACCTGACAAATTTTGACAGGTTTAATGAAATCTCACTTTGGGGATTTAATAGCAATCACACTGCCATGTATTTTGGCATGCTGTTATTTCATTACATTCAGTCTTCCTTCATAGTCAGCACTACTGATTATGTTAAATCTGTCCATCAGAAGTTTAAATGGCCACATTCACATGTGAATTATGACCACCATAACAGGTCACTCTGGGATGCTATTACAAACAATAAATATGAACAGAGAGAAAAATCCAAGCCAAAAGTTTAATAAGGCTGTTAATAAAAATGTTTCATAAGGCTTAACTATGGTACAGTTAAATAAAAGAAAGTAAGTGTTCTAGCACATAAAGGCTCAGATCATAAACTTAAGGAAGTGTCTGCTTGATTTAATGAAGCACGATAGCCCTGTTCAAGCATCATACTGAGGAGATACCTGAGCAAGCCACATCTTCTCTGCCTGCCTGTCAGAAAGAACATTCTGAGCATGTTGGGGCTCACGCCCCAGAACACACCACATCACAGCTAGAATGGAAGAGTGAAAAGCTGGGTATAGGTGGGATGGCAGGAGAGGAATCAACTGGGACAGACTTTTCTGGCTTTTGTCAGGGACATGAATCAGTAATGGAAACTGGAATGGAAAGCTCAAATTAATCAAGAGGACAAAACAAATCACTAGAAAAACAAACAAAACTGCAGGGCTCTTTGTAGGTATAGGATTCCCTAGCGTTGTTTAACTATACCCTTATTCAGTCTTCCAGTGATGAACAAAATGAGAAATGAGAAGTAAATGGCTACTTTGGATGAGCTGTTCTAGAGCATAACCAATAGCCAAGCAGTGACTTTCTCCAGAGAAGATTCCTATTGAAATACAAACACAATGTCTATTGAAAATAATGTAAAGAAAGAACCCTTTCGTTTAGAAGTGGGGTTTTGTGTAGAAAGATTAAAGATGCTAATTTGTGAAAAAGCAAGCACCCCAATTCTAAAGAAGGATACTGCTTAACTCCAAAGCTTCAATTTTTTTATTTTTTTTTTATTTTAAATTTAACTCAGCGTCTTCAACTGCAAAACAGGAAAAATGCATTTTCTTCACAAATGTGAGTCTAAATTTATAACCAAATCCTCAGTTTCAAGCATTCTGAAAGTTCTTCAGAAGAGCAAAATGTTCAAATTATTATTTTTAGGCAAAAATACCATTTTTCAGAATTTAGCAATGAGAAAGTTTCCAAGGAATGTTAAGTTTGCATTCATAAGTAATTCAAAAGCATAGGTACATACTCTTCTGTCCAATTCTCTCTTGCTTTTTTTATCATACCCAACCATAAATCATATCTTCACAAAAATCAAAGGAGCTAGTGAACTTCAAGTTTTCTCAAGGACTTTTTTATGTTAAAAGGATGTCAACCTTTCAGGCAGGATATATCATTTTATGCCATAACTCACATTTGCTACTGTTTACATAAGAAAGAGATAAGTTCAACAGACTGAGAAGAACAAGGGATTGCAATCACACAGCTTGGGAGCTTGGAAATGCACTCTCATTTCTAGGCCATGAGTTCAAATCAGAGTTGACCAGATACAGCTGTGGACCTAGCAGAAAGCTTAAGGATTCTGCAGACACAAGGAATAGAAGCCCCCCCTCGGACACCTCTGAGGTACATTTCTGTGTCACGACAGAGGGCAGAGGCAAGGAAAATGCACACCTTCAAAGTAGATATTTGTCTGGAAAGAGTATTAGGGCAAAAGTAAAGAATCTAGTGTTACAAGTCAAGACAAGATTTTTCAGTGAGACTAAATTTTAGTAAATATTTAGTATGAAAAGAAAAGGGGAAATGTAGGAAACGGAAATGCTTAAAAGGCTGCACTGTTCCTTTGCCCCAGAGACTTTAACGCAAAAGAACATGCTTAAAACAAAACATGCCCTTATTCACCATACCTTTGTCACATCTACTTGGTCAGACCAATCTACATTGATGCTCTCCAGGCAGTTACTGCTGGCATATTGTTTCATTGTCCGGGAGACATTGTAATAACAGTAAAACATGACTGTTAAGGGTACAACAAAATTAACAGCAATTACACTCATTGTGTAGGAAACAAAGGACCTGATAAGACAGAAAAACAAAACACAGTAACTTACAAATAGCCATCCAGGAAAAGTTATTAAAGAATTTGATATTTTTTATTTGATTGTGAAATTTTAAAACAAGCTTTTAAACAATCAGGAGAATTTTCTTTAGTGTTAGTTTTTTTATTAGCAACTACAAGTCTTGCAGTTTTCAAGCATGGTTCAATTCCTACATTTTCCCTATACTTGTTCCATGTTATTTCCATTGTTTTAAAATTATTTTTATAAATTAGGCTTCATACTTTAGAGAGAAGTTATGCTCATATGGTGGTGAATTAAATAATCTTAGCCTTCAGTGAGATAGCAAATTTAAAAGAAAGGGTGAAGGGGAATCTTACGCATCATTCTTCCTCCAATTTACTGTGCACGTTGCTCCAGTCGGATCCGGAGCGTAGCTAGCCCAGCCTACAGTAGGCATGGAAGCCCAAAAGACTGCATTTATCCAAGCAGCAAGGATCAGGGTGGCATAGCTACAGGTAGTCATTCTTCTTCCTGTGGCCAAGTACATACAATCACAAACCATTGTCATCTTTTGCTTCTTTCCAGTGTTGAACTTGAACTTCCAGCAAGCACATACCAGGTCAATAATGATCCTTTCAAAGGCCTACACTCCTGAACACTGCAGCATACCTGTCTCATACTGCTGAACGACATCTCAAGCGTTCCAGCCTTAAATGCCACTTAAATGCCATCACCCATTCCAACCCAATGTGTACAGGCAATACCTGATCCTAACCCCATGCCAAAAAGCTTATTATGCAACAGTGCATTCAAGTACATCTTTGCGTGATTGCAGGGGGAGGAATTAACTGTTACAAAACAGCTGTAAGAGAGGAGAGAAAAGCACCCAGTAACACAACACTAGAGACACACTCGCATGACAGAGGTCAAAACCTCCCACAGCTAGAGGCTTTTCATGTATACAGATGTGGCCCTCTAAAGACTGGAAACAGCCATGAAAACACGACTTCTAAACAGAACAATAGCCTAAATATGAAATTTTCACTTTCACAAGCAGTACCATCCATGCGAACTAGATAACTTACTTGACCAAGTACCATAGGACCATGCCCTAAATTGAAATTATGCCCAGCACTGTAATTATGGAGTCATTAATGAGAAAACAATACAATTAGACTCTCATTTCCTAGAAGCCCAACAGTGAACAATTTTTGACCATAAGTACGGTACCTATATCAGGCCTGCAGATTGTCAGGTAACGGTCAACTGCAACAACAGTGAGCAAACCAATACTCGCCATCCCAAAGAAGATATTTAAGGCAGCATAGATCTGAAATTAAAGCAAACAAACAAATCCTTTCTGAGAAATCTTTCAAAGGTACAAGCACAAATTTGTGGAGTGAATTGAAGGCACTACAAACCATTCATTACATTCAGACAGTGTTCTCTTCCCATAAGCAATGTACTGAAGGAACTAATTCAACACAGGCAATTTGGAGCTGGCTCATTTAAAATTAAACATTTCAAAAGCAACCTGCTTGTGTGCACATCAGAAAACTTGAAGACAGTAGTCTAAAAAGCAAAGGAACACCCTACTCCAATAAGTAAATTCTAAGATTCAGAGATAAAGAGTTTGGAGGTTGGGGGGTTCAATTCATGTTTTCAATATATGCTAAACAAACCTGAAGAGCATTTGATTCATCAAAAAAATTATGTCTTTAGCAAAAGTGAGGTCCTGAACTGTCACACTTTCCTCTGTTGTATAACTACACTTATTTCACAGACTCTGTACACTGATTTTCCCCATCAGCCCCCATTTTTACGTGTGTCAGATCTACTGCACAGAGTGACATATACTGCAGCCCAGCATCCTCCAAATGCATCTGCCCAGTCATCCCATGGGCAGGCTGACCAGGAAGGATGACTGGGAGGGCCATGTTACCACTGGGAACCCAGAAATACAGAGCCCTGTGCCAGACCACATGCCACCAGCGGTTATAATAGAACCACATGACATTCAGACATCTCAGTACACAGGATTCATTTGGTTTAGGTTGATGAGTTGTGCTTCAAGTGATCTTAACTCCCAAAGTGAGATTTCACATCAACTTCAACCCACTACAAGTCAGTCTAGATCCAAAGATATTAAAATTGAGGCTTCCCGTCAAACAGCGACTAAATTTTGAGCTTGAAATAACTGTACTCAGGCAAGTGATGTCAGATTGTTATAAACATCCATTATATAAAGGTCTAAAAGGTACGGTGTTGCTAATATTTTCCTTGAGTCACATTTTCAGCACGCACCTTCACATTACTACCCATATTCCTGGGCACTTAAGCCCAACAGCCTTTTAAAAAAAGTAGATTTAAATCACAATACACAGCAAGCAAAGGGCACCATTTCTCTGCTATGGCAGTATAATTTTTCTGTCGGTCTATTTTTAAAAATAAACAGCTATTAAAACTAGGCAAAGACTTTAATGACGACCAGTAGCCTTGCAGGCCTTCATTTTGGATATCCTAATAGTCCCATCCAAAAGAATATGTATTTGCCAAGCAGAACTCATTAAGATCTGTCAAGCTTGTCATCAAAACAGTAGCCACAAAGTCTTTTAACTATCAAGTAAGTCATCAAATGTGCATGTGCCTCTATAACCTTTTTCATTTGGGGATTCATTTCCTAAGCCTTCTTAAAGCTATTTTGAAATTTCTAGTTGATAAAGTTACACTTTAATGTTTTCAGATTATAAATACAAGTTTGGAATGAAATCCACATGAAACCCTATATCCAGAGTTTGTTGACAGTACAGAACATCAGCTTCAGGTCTAGAGTCAAATTTTGCATGTCCATCTTCTCTCTTAAGAGAGCCAGTATCAGGCAGAGCTACTATTTATTTCTCAGTTTGCTTTTAAGCGCTCAAAAGTCTCTCTCTGACTGAGTTGCCATACCTGGCATCCAGTATATCCAAATTTCCAGCTTCCATGGAGGTCTGAGGCAGCAGACATGGGGTAACCAATGCCACTAACACCAATGTCGGTAAAGGCCAAGTTGATAATAATTGCGTTGGTTGCTGTTCGAAGCTCTTTGTACTTAACAAAGATGCCTAACACAACAATGTTACTGAAAATGCTTATCACTCCTGTAAAAACAGAAAAAGGGAAATTTTACTAAAGATACACACCAACTAGTAACACAAATGCAGAAGAAAATCCAGCCTATTGTAATATCTAAGCCCTAAACAAGTTTTATTTTCAGTCAAGTGCAATTATGCAAAGAGGACAGACACCTGAGAAGGAGACAAAAGCTTTTCCAATTAGGTAACTTTCACTTGGATTCAGTAAGGACCAAAAGTGGAGTGTTTTGCTGAACCTGGAACTTCCAATGCAATGACAACAAGCATAGCAGAAATTCAAAAGCATCTAGGATTCAAACACTCCAGCCACCAAGTACAGTGCTGCCTTCCATGGCAAAAAAGAATGCATGTTGGTGACTGGCAAAAAAAAAAAAAAAAAAAAGCACCTGATCTAGCAGACAGCACCTGCCACCACCTGAGATCTTCCTTTCTTGGCAGAGAGTTTCCACTGTGCATTCAGACAATAATCCTGGGCAAAAGGATTGGGGTGCCATGATTTAGTGGTGGGACTTGGCAGTGCTAGGTTAATGGTTGGGCCTGATGATCTTAAAGGTCTTTTCCAAGCTAAACGATTCCATGATTCTATGAAAAGGAATACAGAAGCTTTGACTTTGCTACCACTATCCTAGCCAGGGTAACTCCGCTCTCTCCTCACCAAGGTCCCAATTCTTCACGAGCATCAGAGTTGGCTCAGGTTGCTGCAAACCATATTTTCTAAGCCTTGTCAAGCAGTCTGGATGATCCGCACAACCTGCCACAGTGGCATGGCTGGGCCTGCACCAGAATGATTTCCTCTACCTGACAAGCTCAAAGTCTGTGTCAAAGCCATGGTCAAAGTCCAGCTCTGCACTGAACTTGCTCCCACCTTGCTAACCTGTGTATTTTTAAACCTCTTTGGTCTGGCTTGACTCAAACTGTGTCTCAAGTCTATTATTAGGCAACACAAGGAATGGCCCATACACAAAGAGTTATAATAAAGAAATACAGTACTAAAGCTAAAATACACATTCTCCTCTCTTCATATCCAATCCCTCTGGAATTTGCTTTGGACTGAATGATCTTCGAGGTGTTCAGGACACTCTTCAGGATCCCATGCATGAACAAGCTTTTTCTGATCCTGGTGACATATATTAAAACCTCCAGATCCTCCTTTTCTCCTGCTAGTCCTCCTTTCTAGCCAAATCCTACTGCTTGGCTCTTGGAGTGAGTTTACATGGCACTCCTACAAAACAGTGTGTGTGTGTGGTTTTATTCTCTTCAGACTCTAGCCTGTTGCAGAGCAAACTCCATCCTCTAAACTTTTACCTACAAACTATTAATACAAGCTATTAATAAACAGCTAATAAGGTTAAAAACTCCCCCTTGCACCTCAGCAGACTCACAGCCCTTATCAATAAAACGGAGAATTCCAACATACTCAAGAAAACACAGCCATTAAAAAAATAACTTGTAAATAATAACAGGAATTTGTAAGTTGTTCATAGATTCCCTAGTCTGGCACAGCTATTACAGTATCACTGAACCAAATCCTAAACTTACAAACATTTGTATAGCCTGGGCACCTCAAATTGCAAGTGCATAGTGGAATGTGATTTTGGTAAATGTCTAACACCACATTATCCATGGAAATGCCCCTCAGAATTGTTCTTATTTTGGTTTTATTTAAAAAGTTTCACCTATGAATCAAAACACTAATTTTCATCATCACAGATCTGAGGCATAATTCTGTAAGGAGCTTGAATGAATGGCCGTCATGCTGAATGTGGACCTCCAAAAGCAGACCCATCTTCTTTCACAGTGACTGCCCACCCTGCTCCAGTCCCCTGGCAATCCAGCACCTTCACTGATGGGATTTCTGCTCCTCTATTGGCTCCACCAAAAACCTGACACACACAGCTCCGCTTTTGCTGACGTGCCTCTGTGGAAAGGGCAATAAGGCTTTTAAGTATTACACAATGTTCCTCCACCTCTGTCACTGTCGATGCTGCAGCACAGAGTTTAAAATCTCTAACATCAGTTCATAGGCAGACTCCAAACATGCTGCAGTTCAAACAATAACCTCAAACCAGCAGGGTTAGAAAACCTGAGGGAAAGAATCAGTTTCAAGCACTTCAGCTCTACAGTTGAATTATGAAGACTTCAACTGGTATCGATATGGAAATTCCTTCAAGTCACGGGAACTCCTGTGAGCTTCATCACTGGCAATCCACAGGAACACAATCCATAGGTTTACAAATACCAGCACACCTCCCAGTGCATCAAACTGAGGCAGACATTTCTAGAGTCAAATACCCATCAGAAGTACCATCCGAACCACTCAGCAAGAGCTACGTTAATATCATGACCGATATGAAAAAGGGCAGAAGCAAAGCCAGTGCAATCATAACAACATACATAAAAGTATAATAAAGATGATATTTAGGATAAAGGAACCTAGGAAGAACGCCAATTCTTCAGCTTTTAAATGGAGTTTCTCCATTTCAGCTATGTAAATTGGTACCTTTTTTATTATACCTGAAATTCACATAAGGAGTTTCACTGCAACACTTTATTAATCAGTACCGATCTCCTACATTACAGAAACTCTCTTAACAGATTCAGTAATTTTAAAATCAAATGAGACACAATTAATTCTTGGCTTTCTATTCTCTTTTTAAAAACACCGAGCATGTCTGTTCTCAGGTGCAAGTCTGCTGCTTAGTCCATAAAAATTAGATTACAGGTGATATTGGAGGTGCACAGCCACATAGATGCCACCAGCTGTCATATTTGTATAGTCACACATTTCAGGAATGACACTGTGATGCTATGAGCCCTTAAAATGAACAAAAGCAAGGAGCTGGGGATCTGATCTGAAAAGAACACCACAGTAAAAAGCGCTCACTCAAAGTGCCAGTTGGGTCAGCTCTCCTGTTGACAAGTAGTACATCATCTCTTGGGAGAGACGAAACAAAAGAGAATTACAAGCTTATAAAACAGAACAGGCTTCTTATGAGGCATGCTTTAACAGATATTACAGCTATCAAGAATGAAATCAGAAATTCAACAGGACTATAAACTCACATCCTCAGGGTGAAGGAAGGATCCTGCGAGAGACACTTAAATTTGGTGCTTCAGAGCACAACCTTAAAATGAAGAGGGGGAAGGGGGAGGGAACAAAACCAAACCAAACCAAACCAGGGAAGAGAAAGTGGGAATAGCTAAGCCTATATTCATTAAAAATTTTAGCACCACTAAACCAAATCAGTAACAGAGCCAAAAAAAATATTCTGGAGAGCAAAATTTAAGAGATAAGATGGATTCCATCTTAAATGAAGCAAGAAAAAAAACCACGTAGAGTCAAGAAATGCTCTCTTTCCTGTTTCTGAGAATCAGGTCAAGTAGGAGAACAAAGTTTCTCCAGGCACCAGTTAAGCAGCATTTAAAAGGGCAAGGAAGCTGGTGAGGGGTCTGGAGCACAAGTGTGATGAGGAGCAGCTGAGGGAACTGGGATTGTTCAGCCTGGAGAAGAGGAGACCTAATCACCCTCTACAACTGCCTGACAGGAGGCTGTAGCGAGGTGGGTGTTGGTCTCTTCTCCCTGGTAACAGGCAATAGGATGAGAGGAAATGGCCTCAAGTTGCACCAGGAGAGGTTTCAATTGGATATTAAGAAAAATTTCTTCACCGAAAGGGTTGTTGAGCACTAGAACAGGCTGCCCAGGGAAGTGGTTGAGTCCCCATCCCTGGAGGTGCTTAGGGACATGGTTTAGTGGCAGACTTGTCAGTGTTAGGTCAACGGCTGGACTTGATGATCTTAAAAGGCCTTTTCCAACCTAAACAATCCTATGCTTTCTTAGAGGACAGGGAGTGGAGATCAAGCCCAAGCCTTTCAGTAACCTGAAATCATCAGTTGGGACAAACTCACGTCACTCAGAAAATTGATTTGACCTGTGAGACTTCTTAGTGTTAGACAACTATTCCCTTATTTCTTTAATTAAACCTTGTAGCTTTGTGCAGATGAAGATAAATACCTCATGACCTGATCAAGAGTAGAATAATTTCATGCCTTCTTTCTTCGCAGGGAAGCAATGAAAACTAAAAGCAGACCAAATGCAAATACAAGGCCTAACAGAGTTAAGCATGACACATAGGTAGTAGCATCAAAACAATGGTTAGGTCCATGTACAACACGGAATTTACTTTTCTGGTTAGCATTTTTAAAACGGTACCAGAGCATTTCACCATTATAAGCTGAAGGATATCCATGAGGCAGTATCACTTCCTGCCACCTGAGTATCCCTGTTGTTATCACTAAAATTAATACACTGACTGCTGTAGAGTGCAATACTTAACAATTACTTCCTTCTCAGAAAACAAAGCAATTATTTGCAAAAGAGAGAAGCATTCAAACCTTTTAAAAAGCAGCATAATGATGAACACTGTACCTGTACTTCATTCTTATTCTTAAGACACCTGCTTATTAACACAGCTTAATTTTTCCATATGTGAGATTTGCTGTGGTAAGGCATTTGCAAAGCAATCAATCATACTTTCAAAGATGCTATAGACCTTACTGTCAAAAACATTCCTCATTAAGAAGGCTCATTAAATCCAAGCTACAGGTGAAAGATTTACTACACTCCCCAATTATAACAAGAAACAAATAACAAAAAAATGCTAAGTAATCCAAGTTGTTGTTTTTTTTTTTTAAAGACATTTAATTTCCATGCAAGATTAAGAAAGAAGAATTGGGTTGATTCTGGCTAATCCCAATGATCACCTATGACAGCTTTGATCTCTAACATCATATGGTCAAACTGTCTGAAAAGACCACCTCATTACATACAATGTCATCAATTTTAATTAAAATACACAAGTTATCATACATATTTGCAGCACCTAATAGATCCAGATACCTGCAAATAATGTGGTAGTACTGCAGAGTGTATCTAGCCTTCCCATACTTGACCATCATCCACCTCTACAGCTTTCTAATAAGTCTACTGGTCTGTGTAGTTCTACCAATTTCTCTAAAAACCTGAAATAAATTATTGCCTCTGCATTCAAAAAATGCCTTCTTTACCGGAACAGCAATTTGATATTCACCACTTCAAATAGATATGGTAAATAAAATGTGACCATCAGCAATACTATTTCATACAAACACATTAATACATTAATATTTTAAATTATTTTGAAAGCTAATTATAACATAAAAAATGTATGGTACAGTCTATGAATAAAGGATTTATAAACTGATTTAATTTTCTATAGTAAAGGTATAGAAGGCCTATTTTTAAACACAGTAGGCTTCAGGATTTGGTCAGGTTGATGTGCCATAGCAATGAAATATACCTTCAGAAAAACATTACTGAAGCAGCTGGGGTTATAACAATGAAGAAGTTTTCAAGGGAAAAAAAAAAAAATAATTCCCTAATCATTTAAGTTTAGCCAAAGGCCATTGCAGTCATAAGGAACGAACACGATGTCAAACCTTCCAGCGTGCTTTCTCTAACATGTGTCATCGGAGAAAAATACAGCTGCAACTGGAGTCTGCTCTTCTCTGATTAATGACCAGCTCCCTCCCTCTAAGTCACATTCCAACCCTTCCCCTTACATCCTCCTAACAGACACCCGTTCACATGCTCAGACTACACATATATTACTAAGAACATGTGGCCCAGGAGAAATCTCAAGATAGCTTTGAGTACATCACAGAAAAATGCAAGATGTGACAGCTATGCCCTATTTTTATCTCTTTTGCAAGCTGGCAGAAATTAATTCTTACTCTCTTCTATAATTACATATCAACAAAATATATTTTTCAAGACACAACGCTGCCTTCAAATATAGAGCAGAAAACTTAGCTGTTTCTGCACACTTCAGTCAGCCTGCTGATTGCTAACTTGCCAGTAAACTATGGAGAAAAGCTATCGGTAATTTGTGTAATACAAAATGAAATACCATCGCTGTTACTATACAAAATGAGCATTCAGATCTACAGTTCTATTTTAAAGAGTTACGCAACAATTTGCCAATGCCCATACCTGCTGTTATTAAGTAAGCTGCAACTATGTTGTGCTCAGTCTGTGTAAAGGCTGAATGAGCTTCATTGTCACTTTCTGAGGAATTGGATGAATCGTTCCAATGCATTTTGGACAAAAGAGACTGTCGTCTACCCTCTGCAATAATTCGTCAAGACGACGAAATGCTACAAAACCCTGTCAGGCAAATTCTTTCATTATTCAACAGCCTCACTGAACAATTAAAAAAAGGGGGTAGGGGGAGTTCCCCCCACCACTGACAGCCTCCAAGCATGATTTAATTGGACTAAAGTGCAAAGAAGTTTACACTCCCAATCTATGCAGGAGATTGTTAATTAAAACAAAGAGCAGCACAGAACTGAGTACATTTCCAACAGTATGCTTAAACTTCATTCTTACTGCTAAAGAGATTAACTGTCACATGCCCCCGAACTTTTTCCTTTCAAACCTCTTGTGCAATGCTTTGGAAACCTCAACAAAAGTTGGCTCAGGTCAGCTGGTCATCAGCCTGGCTTGGAATTAATTCCCATCATCAGAGCGAACACACAACCTAAAGACACAAATGTCAATTTCTTTAAAAAGCAGGATATGCTTACTCTGATGTCCATCTTTTCAAATCCATAAAGACCTACTTCTTCAAGATTCTTAGTTTGATTCAAACGTTCAAGCTGACACACACAAGAAGAACACAGTCCAGTATTTTCTAAAGTTTCAGAAAACTCAATTGCTACGTTTCTAAAATAGCCTAGCTTGCAGAAGATGGTTGTTGAATGTGCCTTACAACTCTGAACACCCTTCCTCTCCCAAACACACACACGTAAGGTTACTTCGGGCACATTTTCCAAAGCACGTTACTGGGCAGAAAACTATTAGGCATTTTCCAAAGCCCTGAGCAGCAGCAGCTCATGTTTTTTTCTCTTCAGTGATGAGGTAGCAGTGCACCAAAGTAAAGACCTCTTAAAAAATCCTGCATAAATATTAGCTGCAATAAACCCTTGCCCAAGAGCTTATATGCAATATCAGTCTAAGCAACCAAAGAAAGTGTTTCCCACCAGTTCCCCTTCATATGGTTTTTGCTTCGTTTTGTATTCATGCTGGGTATAACAGTGACAAGGATGAGCAGCCAGTGGTTTTTCACTTGTTTGTGGTTCACAGGCAGCTCAAGCAGGCTCCCAGGCTAGGGCTGTGCCTTCTGAGCAGCAATAAGGGTGCAGTGACACAGGCGGTACTGAGGAATAAAGCCATCCCATAAAAAGGACGTATACCTGAAGAGCGCTCCCTTCTCTAACCCATTAAGCACTCACAGAGCATTCCCTCCCACTCCTCAGCTTTCCAAAACAGACATCCTGCATCTTTCACCCATCTGAATCTAAAGGTAAGAGAATTTTGTCATAAAACTTGTGCAGTCATCATTATTACAGATGATCATGTGTCTCAGTTCTACCAGCAAGCGTTTTCTTTAATGCTGTAGATTTACACTCACTCTTACAGTTTTCAGGGTACTTGTATATTATGGTATTTTTCCTGTCAGAAGAGGATTAGGCAGGAACAGGGTGTGAGGGGTCTGAAAGGAAAGAGGATCTGTTTGGCCATGAAGCCACTTCCCCAGTGCCCCATAGTCCTGCCTCGAAAGATAAAAGCATAGTGATAATTTGATATCTTTGCTTTCCTCCCCTGAAACTTTGGCAAGATTTTCAAAAGGATCTCAGTTCTTGCAGCTTCCACAGAAGCCAGAGCTTGCAATGCTGAAAAAGCTTTTTAACATTACTATTTTTATTCAGATAAGATTCCAGACTTAGAGTAGCAGTTAATGAGACCATGCAGATTCTATACGTACTTGTTGGTTAAAACGCAAGTTTCTAATATGTGCAGTCCATCCTATGTACCATCACGTGGTCTTCATCTCCTCTTCTCTTAAATTTGGCTAATTTTACAGCAACAGGAATTGAGAGAAAAAAGTCAAAATTAAAGGCAGACATTACTTATCATTAACCTAAAAGTAATTTTTTTCTAGAACACTGCAGTTCATAAAACAAAGCCAAAAAGATAAAGCAAGGAATTAAATATTAAAGTATACAAATAATCCAGGAAGTTGGAACCACAGTTCCTAAGCCAGATAAAATATGGCTTACCACATTGGTTTTTTAATACTGGCATAAGAAAAAAAAAAACCAACCCAAACCTCAGGCTGGTTTTATCCTCCAATAACAGATAGTATTACTAGTGTCAGAGGGGCACTTTATAACCTCAAGTGATGCTTTTCCTTCCCACTTGTCCCAGATCAGTAGCAACAAAATGCAATTTCTGTAAGTCCATTCTTCAATTTGTAGGTATCTGTATAGCTATGGGGCAATGCAAAACTCATTACAGGGTTCTGTAAGTTGCCTTCAGTTATGTGTAAAGTAGATTTCAAACCACAAGAGATGAGAGTACAGAAACTTACCGTTTGCATTAAAAAAAAAATATTAAAAAACAAAGCCACAACAAACCCTCTCTCCTATTTTCAGTGGGAAAAAACCCCACCCAAACCCTCCCACGTTTATTAAGCACATCACCACTAGAGGGTGCAAAACTTCCCTTCAATATTACTTCCAGAAACGGATACAAATGGTTCAAACCCAACGGAAAACAAATTAATAACTTCTTTTTCTTCCCTCACAGAGCCTCTTACTAGATCTAAACTGTTGTTCAGAAAAGTTTGCCTCTAAACTAAAGTGATTTTCAGCTGAAGAAAATGCCCTGAAAAACATGACCACAAAGCTTTTTACTTGTCGTACTTTATGAAGTAGCTATGCCTTTTAAGGACAAAACTGCTTCTTGCCAAAACAATGTTTTGCACAAGTGCAAATGACTTTGCAACAGTATGTATGTGACTGACCAGCATTGCTTCAGGCAAACATCCATAACTTCATGTCGGTGCTAGAGAGAATCCTTTCTGCTCTACAACAGCCAGTGCTGCAGTCATAATTAAAATACCCCAATTATTTTCTGCACTTCATCAAATTTCTTTGCCAAAGTAACAGCAAATCTACAAACTATATTGAACCACCCTATCGCAGAAACTACAGAAAGCACAGTGAGAAAAAACATCCCTCCGAGAGGGAATGCAGGGGTACTAAAGCCATTCGCAATGGGTAACAGCTTCAGCTTTACAATACACCTCCACATATTACCCTCTGTTTAGCCAGGATTTAGATCCCACACAGAAAAAAATATAAAACCAGAATTTTAGCGTGGCAAGAACGAAAGGCTCAAGGTCTTCTAAATACTTTTAAGGAACCTGATCCTAGTGATTTATGAGCTGTCATTTTCAAAATCAGCTGGATGTCAGACCCTGCACCTGGATCAAATACTGCAGTGGCTAACGCGTTCACTTGCGACCACATTTTGAAAATGGGACTTGGCTGTTGAGTGCTCCGCCTCTGCCAACAGCGAGCACATGCAGACACTGACAAGTGGACAAGGAGCCAGGTAGGTGACACCACTACTGCTGTGTCCTGGGTGGGAAGCCAAGTGCTGTGGGGTGCACTGAAGCCTATCTTCTCCCAGCGCTCCAGAGGAATGCTGCAGGACAGCAACCCCCCTTGCGCTGCTGGAGTGGGTGGCAGGTGACTTCTTTAGGCAGCCCAGCCATCTGCCCCATATGCTTCCAGTGAGGGGAAATGAGGGGATGACAAACTCTCATCAAGAGTCTACCCTGCCATTAACACCTTCCTCCCACCTCCTCGCTTCAGACTGCACTGTGACTTTTTTCCTCCAGACACTACAGAAACGGGAAGTTTCAAGTAGCTGCCAACGTACCTGTTTCTGTCAGGGTGCTGGCGAAACCACCTTTCCTACTGTCTGCAGAAAAAGCCTAGGATATCTGCAAGCACATATACAAAACACGAACACTTCACTTACCAGGATCAGGAGCATAGTGACAGAATGACAGCTAAGATTTGAATAAAAAGTTCAAGACAGAAAGAGGTGACATACAAAATTAGAGAACCTGTATTTTAGTTCATTGCAGCATTACACTGCATACAAGACGTCTTAATTTTTTTAAGACATTATATTTTCATATATTACAGTTAGCAACTACTTGCATTAGAAGGGCAGGATCATGCCATGGCACAGAGAAGACCAGGAGGAACAGGGACTGGATGGGACTCGCCACAACCAAACACGATCCTCCCCCAGAAAAGGAAGCAGGGGGAAGGCATCACCATATGGCAGACACGTCCAGACACTGCTTCCTCATATGGCAGGTCATTTCACACCCAATCACTAAGGCTGCTCTTCCATCAGCATCTGAATGTCCTACAACTTCCACAAAGATCTACAATCATAAATTTTCTCTGGATATTTGTGTTAATCCCATCCAACATCATTAGTACGCGTAGGGCATGCCATAATGCTCCTCATGCATTTCTCAGCTGGGCCTGCGATCCAGTTCCCTATAATCAAGAGGCCCACCTTCCCTCTTGAGCTGCAATGGATATTGTTCTTTAACCCCTCCGCAGGCAGATGTAAAAGTCTTTGCTTTGGCCTTGCAATGGCTTCAGGCTGACTCACTGCTCCATCTGCTGTGAGACTCAAAGCATACGCATCTTGTCCTAGGCTGCAGGATGGTACTTCACGCAATGCAGAGGTGATGGCAGTACAGTCTTCCGATATCCTGGGAAAAAGTATGTCCCTAAAGCACGCAGTGAGAACAGCAAAGCAGAGCATGAATTTGGGCATAGGAGCGTGGACTGTGTTAGATTAGCCTTCCAAAACCAAAAGAACAAGGAAAGATCTAAGCCAGTTACCCACAACTACCTATGGAAGCATCAGTGAAGAAATACAGCACAGCAGAGGATGCAATCACAACTATGACAAAAGCAATGACAATGCCAGGTTCCCTGCAGGTTGGCATTGTTCAGCTGCAACGTGGCTTGCGTAGGATTCTGTCTAAATAAAGGGCAGTTCTACAATGCCTCCTGTCAGAGCCCTAAGGCACTTAGGCCTAGCAATACACAGCAACAAAAGTCTGAACATTTTCAGAGGTCTGGATTTGACTGACCTGGTTAAAATTAAGTCTGTAGCAATACCAGGAAAATAGCATCCCTCAATTCCTGATTGTGCTGCAGTCGAACAGTAGACTCAGTTTCTTCTACAAAACCAGATCGAACAGAAATTCCAATGTTTAGTGTTTTTTTTAAGCTGAAGAACATTTTTATCTATTATGCTATGCAGCATCTGTTAAGAATTGAATTCTTGAACATTTGTTTTGCTACCTTATTGCAAGTTTTGGTCCAGAGATTATTCAAACTAGCAGTCACGTTTGTTAAAATGACCAGTAACTTTCCAATCCGGGTGCTGACAAATTACCATTTTCTTTTTGTTAAGCAGAAGGCTAATATAATTCATTTGCCTGTTACTGCCTTCATTAATTAAAAAGTAAAACAGCACAATCAATTCTGAAATGCACTTCTTTCCACATTGAACATGATGTTCAAAATACTTCCATGTAGATTATTCTACAAATCCCTTTTCCAAAGTGCTTGGTATGAGAGTCTGTGAAGGGACTCCTGGCTCCAGATGAAATCTGGGGAGATTCTACTTTTCTATTCTTATTTCCAAAGTTGAAGAGCAGAAAGGCACTCTGTTCTCCATCCTTAAGAAGAGGGAGTTACTAACTTTTCAACAACCCTCCTAATGCATCCAATTAGAGACCAAAGGCTCGTGCAGATTTTTTCATGCCTTTTTTAAGCAATACTTAACTGAAAGCAGTGTGCAGAGGAGCCCTATGATGGGCCATCTAATCGTAGCACTACACAAGCTCAGAGCACCACAGAGGTGCAGTGCCAGGATATTAAAACCTCAAGAGAAACAAGCTAAGGGGGGAGGCGGGGGCAGTTAAAAACCCATAGCAATTTTAGTATCAGTGTAATTAGTTACAATCAGGTGAGTTAAGAATAGTATTAACCTTGTCTTATTCATTAGATAGCAGCTTCTTAGAAGACCATGTCTTAATGCCTTTGGCTTTCATTGAGATTTGTACCAAAAAATCCACAAAAGATCCTTTGCTATCTTCCTTTCCTTTTATGTGTTATTATGTATAAAAAAATTCTATCAACACAAAATTTGAAGTTTAGTTTGTACAAAAAGGTTCACAAAGGTAGTTTAAACAGCATGTCCACTTCAGAGCAACCTAGAATGCAATACGAAAAGAGGATGAGAACTAGGGATCAGTCACACATACGGAACAGGTTCATACTGACGAACATGCATGTAGTGAACCCGTAAGGTTTTCTGAAAAGGCATTTCAAATGATTGTTTACTCCAAACTCCAACATGAAGTCAAGCATTGACTATGTCACTTGTCAGAAACAAACAGTTCAAGAACAAGGCTGAATCCTGGCTTAGTTAAAAAAGTTCAAGTATATTCTGAGCAGTCTTCAATTCTTTGCCTGAGGCTACGCTCTTCTCATGGGTTGATCAACAGTCATTAAGTGTAAAAATAATTGTCATTTTACAGCTTCAAGTTCTTTATAGAAAGGACTTTTTCAGAGTCATTTACAAAAATTTTTCCTTGTTCTTCACTTCTGCAGATGATATGGTAAGACAGCGGGGAGATACTTGTGCCTCCATTTTTAATATCCTCTTCCTATTTAAGGGGGAAGAAAAAAAACACCGAATAATTCATATCTTAGATGCATTTAAAGCAAATAAAATTATATACATAACACTAAATTAATTGACAAAATAAAATAATTTATCATAATTATCTGTTCCCACAGCCCTTTTTGAACACACAGAACTAGCATGATCTTACACAAGCATCAAAAAATGCAGAATACTGTGCTTCGGTGTAAGCTAGCTACTGTGATGCACAGAAGCTTTTTGCATAAAACTATAAACATCTGTAACAGATAAAAAAAATACATCTTGTTTAATATTTAGAAACTTTAGCAATCAGGAGCCATTCTTATTACCGAATGTAAAAACCGCACACTCACCCCGAAAGCCTCCTCCACCACCTCTTCCTCCTCTGACTCCTCCTCCACCTCTTCCTCCTCTGAATCCTCCTCCTCTTCCTCCACCTCTTCCTCCTCCAAATCCTCCTAAACATAGAGAAGAAATTACACTTTGAGGAGCACGTAAATTCTTTGTTATGCGTAACAAGTTATTTTATTGACAGCTTCTGAAAGGAAAAGAACAACAACAAAAAAAACCCAGAAACTGTCGATTGCTGGACAGTTACTAGGTCAATTACTGGTACCTTGCCTCTTCTAGGGACCATCTGCAGCATTTTAGGTATTGTTTAATATCTGATATACAATGTCAAACATACTAAAGACACTAACAAAACTCCACAATGCATTTCATGAGAGCAAGAAATTAATTATAATTATTATTTAATAATTATTAGTTACAACTCAACAGAGTATTAAACCAAACAAAACTAAAAACTTTGAAACACCTGTGCCTCGCTACAAAGGGGCAGGGTAGGGAGAAGAAGCAAGAAACTGTAAGAATGTAAGAAAACATTAATTTCAGCTTTATTTGAGGAGTACATCGCAGATGGTGTTCAAACACCAAAGAAGGAGGTGGTCTCCCAGGTCATTCACCTCTCTCTCAAGCACTGTATTTCAAGGGGTTTGTTCAAACTATATTTTTTGAACATACTAAAAATACAGCTTTCATTGACACTTCTGAGTGTGTATTACCTACAATCTTTTACAAGTTTGCTCAGTAGTCACACTTTTTGTCTTTGTTATAAATCAGTATACTCCCCTCCCTATGCTTTGGAGATGGTATTTAGCTAGCTGCAGAAGCCTAGGTCTTGCCATTGGAAAGGCATCTTCCACCGAGTCATCAAACAGAAATATGCATAACATTGTTCTTTGCAATACAACTGTTGATAGTCAAGTACTCAACTGCAGCTTTACCAAAAAAAAAGAAAAAACCCAAACCCAAACAATCCCATATCCCACACCAAAAAAACAACATTCTGCAGCTCCCATTCTTGGGATCTTACCTCTACCACCGCCTCTTCCTCCTCCACGTCCACCACCACGTCCTCCTCTACCACCTCCTCTAGGAGCACCTTTTTCTCCAGGTGGCCTTGGCAAAAATCTTTGAAGGGGTAGCAGCTTTGCTGGATCAATGTAAAACTGTAGGAAAGAGTTCCATTAGGCTTTGAAAATACCAAGGCTAAAGAGCACATTAGTATCTCCCTTTACAAATATCCCCAGTTTGGTCTTAACCCTTTTTGTCAAAAAATTGAGATTGTCCTCTGCAAACAGCCAAATGTAGAAAGTATGCAAAAAATAAATCACAGTGTTAAAAAGTTATTAAAATATAGATGCTATTTGCATGAGTTTAATTTATAACACCTTTTTTTGTGGGATGGGGGGAAGGAAGAACGTGGCAGATACAAAAGTGAAAAGGTATAGGAAATGAATATTTATGTTTACAAAGGACAACTAGCTTTTAAAATTAATAAAAACTTGATAAAGCTTTTATTATCTGATGACACATAGAGCAGATTTATCCAATTAATGACACAGTAGAATTCTCTTCTTGAGATTGGCTAACCTTTTGCATTTTTTTAAATGAAGAGGCTTTCATGTTCTCAGACAGTTTCACTGAAAAATACTATTAGTTTCTTTAAGGAACACCGCAGGAATAAAACAATAGAAATAATAATTATTATATGAAAGGCACATTCAGACGTTTTCTAAATTAATATTTTATAAATGAAGCTAAACATCATCACCGTAAACAAAAAATTACAACTAAAAGATCAGGAGAGACTATTTCCAATTTTTCCTCAGGGTTTATTCATAGTTACAAATATGGTATTTTGTGGTGTAATCGTTTTTTCCTTCCATGCATTAAGGCATAAGGTAGAATACACCAGTGGAAAGCGTACACAAAAGCATAATTGTAAAGAAACAACTTTGTATTAGCAAGTGACAACCCCTTCAGTCCCAGGTTGACCTCAAGGCTTATCTGGAACAATTCACGTGCTGCAGGGGTTCTGCTAGCGCTGCCGCTGCTGCTGGGTGGTACAACTGCCTGGCTGTGGGAAGGTAAGAGCCAGCAGGGACTGCTGGACCAACCACATGCCCAGCTGCACCCTACAGTGAAGTGTCAGACACCCTCTGAAACCCCACATGCAGTCTCATACGAACACCTTGGCTCTCCAGTATGCCAGGACTTTGGTATGCAGTTCCTACGATCAAAAAGAGCTGCTGGCCAACTCTGCTTAATTAAAACTCAAGATTAAATGGGGAAGCAAGGAGCTGCAAAATCCAGTAACATTCTCTTAATATGATAGTGTAGGAACAAAACAAGTTTCTAAAATTCAAATAATTCTGATACAAAAAGTAAATCTGCAAGTTAATACACTCAGAGCGTGAGAGTGATTTAAACCCGCACATTTTACTTCACATGTAATGTGGGAGAGGAAAATGCATGCAGCTAGTCCCTGATGCTCAACTAGCTAACACAGGCTAAGTCCTACTGCCATGCCACGGGGTTACTCCCCCAGTTGTCCCACTTTTGCCGTGGATTCTATTAGTCTGGCAGTGACAACAGAATGGACCCAGTGCCTGTGTCTCAACAAGCTTGCTTTGCAAGAGGACGCTAGCACAGGCCACTTTTATTGGCAGTTTAAGTAATAAGCTGGACAATGAGCAACAGGACATCCTAGCACAAACTCACTTTTATAATTAACAAAATGAAACATGAGCAAGGTCCCCTAATGCACACACACACACACCCCCCCCCAAACATGCCCTTGATCCAACTCTGTTATAGATGAGTAAGCAATAGCAGAAAATTTGGGTCAGGTGGCTAGAAAACATAACATCTTGAGCCACCATGGATCCAAAAGACGTCTGCCAGTACTGGTACTGACTGAAAACCTCTACCTGACATAAGATACACTGTCATAATGAAAAAGCTTTAAGACAGGCATTTAATGTGAACAGGGCACCTACTGACACCAGCAATTGCAGCTAGACTGCTTGCACCTAACTGGTAGCCAAGCCTTGAACCATTTTAAAATCCTAGGGAAATTCCATTTAATAATTAATCAGCCTTTAAAAAACAAATACTGTATGTCACACATTTTTTTGAAGGATACAAAATCTCTCAGCTGTCCGAAGATTTCATCCACTTTGCCAATCTGTTCCTTGTTATCCAAGTAGACTGGGGCATTGAAATAAGGCACCTTGTTTTCTTCTGTTTTACATTTACAAACAATGTCATCTTCACATGGATGCATGAACTCTCCCAATACTGAAATAAAGAATAAACAAGCTAAAGATCTGGAGCAGCCATTCTGAGTTAAATAAACATAATCTCTTCACGTAACTTACAAACTCCCCTTTCTGGAGGCCCCTGGTCATATCCGCCTCTGTTGAAGCCTCCTCGTCCACCTCCCCGTCCAAAGCCACCTCGTCCACCACGATTAAAGCCACCTCTGTCACCGCCACCTCCTCCACGATTGAAGCCACCTCCTCTTCCTCCTCCACCTCCTCTTCCACGAAAAGACATTCTCTACTACCTCCTAAATTGTGGACAAAAGTAAATTGTTTGAGATGTAACAGACATTTGACATTTGATTTGCTGCAGAGATTAAAGACTCCTGACGGCTTTCCTTGTTAATTTAACAGCGAGCCGGTTCAGACCTCACTAAAAACATGTATGCACATGGAAAATCAAGTTTACACCCAAGATGTCACCCACGGCAGCGCCTGCCTGCAAGAAGTGCCTAGCAGCGAGGGCATGTTTCCCACTCACGTGTACGAGGGTTGAACGCGACCCCCTCCAGCCCCAGCCCCGCGAAGGAGCGGCACCAAGCGACCACACACCCGGCGCGCCTCCGCAGCGCCTGCCCAAGCACGGCACAGGGCCCAGGGGCACCGCCTGCGG